TGCTGTACCATGTGTGAAACAAAAAAATAAAATAATAAAATAATAATAATTTTCATCATCAATAGCTCATGTTGTTAAGACCGTTTATGTGCTACATAGACACTCAGCTCTCCCACCTTCAGCACTAGTAACCAGAAACATAATGTCATGTTGATAAATGTCTTTGTTAATCTTTCTCTTTATTTATTTTGTAAAGGTATCTGGTTTTATTTAAATTCTAGAGATTTTACAGTTTAAAAAAAACGTGGAAAACCTATCAACAAAGTTAAAGACAGAGATTGGGATCTTGTTTCTTCAGATCTTTGTCATTCACAGATAGTCAGATCACTGTGTAGTCCACAGTTTTGTCTGTGCTTGATTATAGGGATATTGTTTATAAGCACGCTTCGACCACCTTGAAGCCGCTTAACTCTGTGTATCACCGTGCGTTGCAGTTTAGCACAGGTGATTAATTTCTTACTCACCTTTGTATCTTACATGAAAAAGTGGAATGGTCCTCCCTAATGAATAAAAGCAGGCAACCTTGCATGAGGTTTATTTACAAGGCCCTACTGCATAGATTGTCAATGTCAGGTCCCAGGACATTTTATTAGCATTAGCTGTACTTGAAATGAAAATGAATTACTTTATACTACTTTATATTTTCCTGCCTACAAATGGAGACTACAAAAGAACTACAAAGCTACATTCTCTGATTTCATTGGAGCATTTTAAAAGGTCATATATATTTATCTGCAGCTACTCTTGAATATATGTTTCTTAATTTGGGATCACATATAAGGTCATTTCATTATGTGGTTGTATGTTTTTTGTACACAGGTCTCTCCTGAAAAAGAGCTCTCGATCTCAAACAGAGAAACAGTTTAAATAAAGGATTTAATAATAACAGTGATGTTACATATTAATGTTACACTTTCTCTTTTGAATAGGCTGTGTTGCAGCATGGCAGCTGCACAACTCTACTAGACCTGAGAGTTACAGCTTAATTTGTTAATTGTTAATACCAGGTTAGTGATTTAATCTTTGTTTTTAATAGATCCCTCTCGAAAAAGGTTAGTACTCCCTCTTCTGTACTCATCTGTCTCCGAAATCACTCCTCTTAGTCAAGCGGGTGAGCTTAATATCCTGCCCTGTCAATTGCCACTGAGAGAAGGGGGTTTTATATTTTTTAAATCTCATGATAGCCACTCTGAAATGCTGGCCTGAAGGCAGGAGCTAAACACATTCCACAATGGCTGGTCAGGACAGTCTTGAATGGTATTGGCTTTCCTCAGTGCCTCTGTGCTGCACTGTAATTGCAAGAGCTGTAGCTGACTTACCCCAACGATCTTATTTGTCAATTTTACAAGACCCCTAAGCTTTTCTTTAGTGAACAAGGTGAAGTTTCCACACAAGGCTAAAATGCATAATATTAAAACCGAGATTATGCAGTTCAATCTCAGGAAAAGTTCCTTAGAGCAGTCACGGGGGGATAAAGAGCTCAGTTTTGACTCTTGGGTAACGGTTTTATATTCTTTCTTTTACCAACAATCAGTGACTATTGATTTGGTTTAGCAACAATAACAACTTTCTGACCATTAGAAAGTAATTTCAGTTGCCTAAACATAATCACGCCTGAACCACAGGGGTGTCCGATTAGCACACACTCAAAAATCATGCTGACAAATGACCTGCTTTGCCATTTAGACATAAGAGCCTCTTGTCCTGATTTCTTTGGAGTGCTCAGTAGTTTGAAACTACTGAGCTGTTTTGAAACTGCATTTGCAAACTTGCACTGCAACAACAAAACATCAGCAGTGATGGGAGAGCGTCAGGCAATGTACAGATGCAGTGATGCTTTATTACAGTTTCCTTACTGTTAACAGACAAGACCCAAAAAAAACAACAGCATACTCAAATGACAAGTATTGTCTCTGTAAACTTCCATTGTCGTCGTGTCACCGACTGATACGTTGCTCAGTTATGATAAACTTGGGCATTGTGTGTAATTTTGAGAGGAGCCCACACACTGCAGCTGGCTACTGTAAACATGTTTGCATCATATCTGTTAGTTGATGTTAAACGATACATTAATAACACGGCTTTTTCAAAAAGCACAGTTTTTTTAACCTGAAGCTGTGGAGCCATATTCACTAAATAATTTGTTGTCAGCAGAAGCAGTTTTCGATGTTGTTTAAGCATTTTATATTGCATACAGTCATTTAGACCTGATTTAAGTGGCCATGCAAGAGGATGGAAGTTCTGCTTTTTGGCAGCGTCGTTGCAGGCTTCGCCCCCTCAGGCTTCAGACCTAGAGGCTACTTATCACTCCGTGCCAGAACTCTGGTTATAATCACATCTATTTAATGACTTACACATTTGATTCAAACATTACTGAAGACTCAGTGGAGCCAGAACAGTGTTTCTTCTGCCCTTTGGGCTAAATAGGCTTTTCCTGATTTGTTCACATCCCTGCAAATGTCACTGCACAGAGATAGACGTCTCCTTGATATCTCTACCCTTCCATTTAACCAGTGCTATACCCACAGACAAGACTTTTAATTACTTTTTGAGAGACAGGACAGTCTATTATCACACACATTATTTTCACCTCAGACATCTCCCAGCCCGACTCAATCAATAGTACCATTCTTCTGTATGAACATATTAATATCACAGTCTTATAATGAAAATGAAAAGTGTCAGGTTCGGTGGGTAATCTGTTTTAGGTATCGATTCGTGCCGAGAGTCGTCCAAGGTCACGGCCCCTGCTTTATGTATGTATGTATGTATGTGTATATAGGTGTGTGTGCACATAAAAACACACACTCGCACATGCCTACCAGTGGGTATATTTAGCTCTTTAAGCAACGCTCTCCAGCTTCTTAAATTGTTGATCTATTTGCCCTCGCCTTTTCTCGCAGTTAACTCCTCTCCCCTTACCTTTTCTTCTTCATGACTCTGCCTCTCTGGTGTGCTCTTCCTATATTCAGTTATGTCACTGAGCATTTGCAAATTAACCTAATGATTCATTTCTTACAGCAGCAGAATATTGTTAGAGCTTGGCATCTAGGCTCATCACTCTGCACAAATAGTCTATGTATAAAATTGGGAAGTGACGAGCAAATATTGCCCAGAGCCTACAGGTGGTAGAGGGTCCAAAACAACAGGCAGCAGATGCAGGGCACGAGCACCAATGACATGTCAGAAAGAGAGATGGGGACATTTTTATGCCTTTGTAAAACACTGAAATGGGAAATTGGGTGTTTTTGGTGTGTTGTGAGAAGGATCTATGGTTTTGTCCCTGTTATTTATATTTACAGAGCGTCACCACCTTCTTTTAAAAAGGAAAAATTGTAATATAGGGCTGTCAAAAGATAATTAAGCTTCTGGGAACTCTAGACCGACCTGTGGTACAGGCATTATTCTCACCTATGCAGGTGTCCAAGCTCTGCAGCAAACTTGGATAAGATGAAGGGGCTGTCTCAAAAGCTAAGATAAGAAATTATTTAACTAGACCAATTTTTTTTAAAGATTGCTCAAAGACTTCAAATTCCAAGATACAGTTTTGGCAGCATGATACTAAAGTCACTGTACAGCAGGAAACCTCCCTGGATAAACACGACTGCCAAAGACTTAATGAAAGGAAGAACAAAGAATCTGCAGAGTATAAGAAGAACACTAAACAAGCAAGGACTTTGTCAAGAAAATATTACATAGCTATATTTTTCAGCTGGAAGGTTTCATCAGGGTTTTGAAATAAAATACAAACACAGACACTTAAGTAACACAAGCCATGACACCGATGATTTATAGGTGTGTTGCTGGAAAAGAGAGCAGGCTACAAAATTCACATGGGAAATCAAAACTGTGAACATCTACCAGATGTAGCAGAGTATCTGTCTTCACAGCGAAACACGTGAGAATCAAAACGCTGCTAAAGTGCCTTAAGACTCGTTGCTTTGTTTGCAAGCAGGGACTTCATGACGGCACTTTTGCTGCACACTTTTACCGAGTAAAACAAAACACAAGCGGACTTAAATGTGGACGAAAGTAACAGATCAACCTGTAGATTGAAGGATTCTGTTAACAGAGTGATGAGACTAAAGTGGAACTGTTTGGATCCATGAATCAAGATGTCATGTTGTTTAAAAAGAGACAATCCACTGAAGAAGAATGTGTTGGCTTAGGTCCCGAGATGATTGGTAATCAGTTCATTAATCATTCCTGGTGCGTCATTCAGTAGCCACCGGAGTCTCAAGAGATGTTATTCACTGAAAATATTCTGACACATTTAAAGAAAAGAAGATGCAGCAATTAAATTAAGACAAGCTGCATGTTTTGGCTGCTGAGGATTTTTGTTTTTGCTTAAAATTCATAATCATACCCTATGTCGTATGATGTTTTTCTGGGGGAAAAAACAGGCACACAGCCTGCCACTGTTTGTGAATATGTGTGGGTTTTGTTTTGTTAATATTTTTATCCTTTTTTTAGTCATAAAACTAGATTAAAGATATTTAAGAATTTAGCCTGGTTTCATGGCAGTTCAATTTTGAAAACAATTTTAATTTTAAATTATTTTTTTTTACCGTTCTTTCATACAAATTTTATTTTGTGTCCATGAACACAACGTTTAATTTAGCCACTTTTATATGTACTAAGAGCTCCAACAGGAGGCAGATGGTTGCTCCTCCCTGGCCTGGTTCTGCTGGAGGCTTCTTCCTGTTAAAAGGGAGTTTTTCCTTTCCACTGTTGCCCAGCGCTTGCTCGTAGGGTCTCATAGGTCTAAACCTCACAATATAAACCACCTTGAACTGACTGTTGTTGTGATTTGTGATAATACTCAAATGCAATGTTAACATACTGATACTCACTCATAATGGAGAAGCAATCCATTTGTGTTAAATATTTCTAAACTGACATGTGTCCTCTGTGTTTTGACAGATGCCATGCTGCTGGTGGCAGACAGGCTGCAAGGCCCCTCAAATATTGAAGCAGTTATACAACCAATTGACATCAAGATCTCTGACGCTATCATGACTATGCAGGACAACAGCATGCAGGTGTCAGCCAAGGTATTGTATCCTGAAGAAGCCGTGCTGACTTTGTTGAATTTGTGCTGAAAACAGTGTTTATACACACACACACACACACACACACACACACACACACACACACACACACACACAATATCTGACCTGATAAACAGTGTGTACATTTTTAAGTAGTGTAAAACCACAAGTAGCATAAAAAATTGCCTTGTCTAATATCTCATCCAGGAAATAATGAGCATAATAACTGGACTATATTAGCAGTCCTCAACTTCTCATCTCATTGCCCATTTTAATTTTGTTATTCATATGAATCTGCATGATTCAGCAGAAATATGTCAATCTGTGAAATGTAAATGCAACATATATTTGGAGCCCTGTGACAAGTTTTTACACATAACACAGTCTCCTAAACATCACAATTGTATTCGCATATCTAAAATTTGGGACAGGACATATTAACGTTTTCGCAATATCATAAACTGCGATGCATCCAAGGAATCCACACAGGGCAGAACCTCTGGTCTTCACATTTCCTGTGAATGAATTTAGTAAGCCATTTCATAGTACATGAAGGAGGTTTCTAGGAGACAGATTAACATGCAGTAGAAGCTGCTAATTCTGTCTTTGTCCTCATTAGACTTCAAATTGCAAATTGGTCTTTGGCATATTTTAAATATGAAGTGGCACAATTAGGATATTATCACACAGTGGATGGTTTTTCACTACCTTTCTTGTCAAAAGGCAGCTTTTTCACTTCATCATTGTTATTCTGATGGTTTCGTGTGGCCCATCTCCATGCCAGAGTTACAAAAGTCACTCTGAATTAGCCGTCACATTGTCTCCCATATCAAACAGCTGTCAATGTGCAACTTAACCCCTTGTCAATGCACTTGACGTCTCACTTCTCTGAGGCTGTGCTTGGCTGACAGATTGGTGTCAGATTATAATCTTTCACATTTTGACCATTTCCCTGAGCTGTGTCTTGTTCTTCGTTTACTGCTCCTCAAACCTGTTGAAAACTATTTTGCTTGTGCGATGTGCAAGATATTGGAAGCATAATCATGGTGAAGAATCGCTAAATATTAGAAAAAAGCAGTCTCTTGTCATGACAGCCGTCTAATACATCCGGGTGCTCCATCACCTACTGAGCCAGGGGCCAGTAAACGTGCCAGGGATGAATGCTAACGAGCTGTGCTGTTTGGAGGTGTCTTGTTTGGGCCTTAAAAGCAATCTGCTGTTCATATGAACCTCTATGAGCCACACACTGATTAATGTGAGATTCCAGTGGTAAATCTGCACTTCTCAAACCATAAACAACTGAACTTTTGTTTGTTAAGTTTAAGAACTTTCCTTTTTAAAAAAGCCAATGTGTGTGCGGGTTTACATTGTTCCCAGGTAGTTACTTTCTCTGTATCTCTCAGCCATGTAACACTAAATATTACAAAATGCTACAATTCTGCATTTTCCTCTCCCAAAAGTTTTCCTATTTGCAGTTCAGAATAAAATAAGCCTATTACTTTTATCTCTTCTGTACGCTGACAGCTTCATTTCAGTTGTATTTTGTGATAACGTGGATGCAAAACAAGGATGCGACACAGAATCCTGGTCAGATGTCAGATTTTCTTAATTTTATATCTCGCTAGGACGACTGAGTAACAACATATCAAGGGTTAATTCCTTTTCTCCCAACAATATCACACTTCATTTAAAAAGAGACTCATCACTGATAGACAGTATTGGTTCCAGGACGGTTCTCTACAGTTTGGCTGTCTCAAATCACAGAGCAGAAATGGTGCTGAGAGCAAATTGACAGAGGGAGAAATATCAGTGGTAGAGCAAAGTACAAGTTTTGTGGGATCAAAATGACGTGTAATCTACAAAGTAACAGACTCAGCCCTGGCTCGGTGCAGTTTTGTGCATCCTCTGAATGCTGACAACTAAATTATTTATCACAGCAAAGTTCGCTGTCATTATTATGAGGAAATGTTGCATTATTATTACAAAACTGGGCAGTTTGTCCTCTTTTCCCTGGCGTCTGCCTTTTCTCTGCGGTAACTTTGTGTACCTCTCTTCTGTTTTTAGGTCTTTCAAGGGTGTGGCCAACCAAAGCCATCAGGAATAGGCAGGTCTGTGCGGGGCATCTCAGATGTGTTCAGTGGGCGTTTCAGGCCCTACACCCCTGAGGAGAGGCCAACCACTGCAGCTGGAACAAGCCTGGATAGACTGGTATGCACTGAGACTAGATAATTTCGCCAGTACTGTAAACCTGGATTGAAAAATGCAGTTATAAAAATTGAATGAAATAATAATTACCTTTGTGATTTAAACAGCTCCAGAGATGACTGAAAGATGAAATAATTTATGTGGAAGAACTGATCCATTCCTAAAGCAAACCTTGAATACAAAGCCTTGGCTTTAAAGCCTAACTCATGCGGTGATAATGCATGATGATTTCCAGTAAAGAAGTCAGGATTCTGCCAACAAAGGATGCAGAACACGCTTCCTTTCTCACATTTTTCAAAAGCTCAACTGATTTCCACTCTACAGAAGTGGAGTGTTTTTGAAATTTTATTGGCAGAGGCAGACTCGGTGGTGGCATGCTGAGTTTAAGGTCGACTTACTGGGGCTCATGTCAAAAGGCCAGAAAAAATAGAGGCTTGTTCATATAGTCCATATAGCCCCCAGGTGCTGTGTGACTTCCACTGCTGCTGTACTCAGACTTAAAATATTTCTGTTCTTGCCCTCGCTGCTGATGGTTACAGAGAAGAATCACAACAGCACGCGCTTTTTCAACACAAGCTGGACATGTTGTTTAATACATATTCCTCGTGAGCATGAGTGAAGGGTAAAGCCCAAGCCTTATCCTAAAATGTGCAAAATGTTGAGTGAACAACAGCGTACAAAAGATTCAACATCCACCCACCAAACGTCAGAATGATGAAAAAATGCTAAGACATTAATTGAGGCTACAAAAAAGGTCTGCAGAGCCCCCTGATGCTACTGAGGCACATTGTGTAGGAGGCTGTCAACGTCAAGCTTCGCTATAGAGCTGCGCAGAAGCCCATAAGTTGATACAATGTTAAACCGGGCCTCACAGCCCACGACTCCTCATCTTTTCCCCTGTTGCTACAAAATATGTGCCGCTGTCATGTAGCAGCAAAAGCGATGCACCTGATATTAACTAAGCTGTGTGTGTGTTTCATGTCAAGCTGACTTATTCTTATGGATATGAAACACACTTGTATGAGTAGGCATGCCTAACATAAAGCACTGTGGTCATAAAGAGATAGACATGCTAAGGAACAATCCTCCTTCATGTTGTTTACACCAAATTCTGGCCCTGCCGTCTGAACGTCTCAGCAGAAATGGAGACTCATCAGACCAGGTGGCATTTTTCCAGGCTTCTGTGGCACCAGGTGTGGTTTTCTGCTGCTGTAGGTTTGATGTGTTGTGCGTTCAGAGACACTCTTCTCCATACATTGGCTGTAACGAGTATTTATTCGAGTTGCTGTTGCCTTCCTATCAACTTGAAGCAGTCTAGCCACTCTACTCTGACCTCTGGCATCAACAAGGCATAGAACTGCCTCTCACTGGATATTTTCTCTTTTTTGACTGTTCTCTGTAAACTATAGAGCAGATAGTTCTGGGGGGGTGGGGGAATTCCAGGAGATGAGCAGTTTCTGAAATACTCAGACTAGCCTGTCTGGCACCAGCAACCATGCCACGTTCAAAACACATTTCTTCCCAATTCTGATGCTCAGTTGGACTCATCTTGACCTGTATGCTGTATGTCCCTAAATGCATTGCATTGTTGCTTTGTGACTTTCTGATTAGATAGTTGTGTTAAAGAAGCAGTTGAAGAGGTGTACCTAATGAGTGGATATATTTTAGGGCAAGAAAAAGTTGCATTGTTTTTTACTTATAAAAGTCTGAAATTGTTACTATTCCTGCTGTTTAACATAATATGGCCTTCTACCAAATCTTTAATGAATATGTTATGTTTCTCGACAGTTACTGCTTTAAGTAAATTTAGTTAAAAGACAATTGTGAAGTAATACTAACAGAATATCAGCTGAAGTGTGCACTCACACAGGCTAGAAAAGCTCCTTATGCTGTGATTTTTTCCTCTGGCCAATCCATTTAGACGATGTTTTTTTATGTAATCCTCACTCCAACTAGTAAATCCGTTTATTAAACACAGTATTGTCTTTTAAAATAAAAGGTACATTTTATAATCTTCAACTGTGCAAGTTGTTCCATGGGATTAAAATGGAAAAAAGGAAGGAGCAGAGACGTGATTACAGGCAGCAGAGAGTCTCCATAAGTAGTCTTTACTCCAAAAATAGCTGTAATTGTTAGGAATACCACAGTGACTGTATAAAAGATGTCCAGAACCTTTAAAGTGTTATTCTTGAACACTCCATATCTTTACACTCAGGCCTCATTTGAAAATTAGAACCAAATCCACTTTTTTCTGATTCATAACATGCACATTAAAATGTGTGGGAAAAATCTAAAAGGCAAAAGCGCATTTAGAGAAAACCCACTGGTTACTATCTTTAATAATGTATGCTTACATGCACTCCAGCCTGCTGCTTACAAAAGATTTGAAAAGTTGTTCCAAGAAGTGGGAACTGGATAGCTCAGGAAAACATATCTAACCCGTTCTTCAATGTACTTGCATCTCACTGTGTAAATTTATTAGGTGTGTTATGTGTAATACTTACAGTACAAATACATGTGAAGCACTGAAGTATTAAAAAGTTGGCGTATTTTGCTAAACTGATTGCATTGCATTGCTTGAAACAACCACTGTCATTAGACCACTTCAGCCTGCGTTCCCACATTAGGCTGCTGTTTGTATGCAGGTGGTGATCTGTGCATTGATCAGACTTGATAGCAGCTGATTTCACACTGGAAAATGTATTGTGAATAAAATGGTTTGAGGTACTCAATCTCATAGGCTGGTGAATAGAATATTTTAGCAGCACCATTTATCATTTAACTTTTTGCTTCACTAACTAGTCATTATTTTGGCCCTGTTCTCTCTCTCAGTCTCTCTATTTCTCTGATGTCCAATTAAATCTCTTTCTTCTTCATTTCTCTGCTGCTCTCAGAGGGCTGTCTGGAGGACAATGCAACACAGTGTAAGCTTTCCATTCCTCCTCTTACATTCACAATGTCATGTGTCTCGTGGTGTTTTAATCAACCTGCCAATAGTGCTTCACTTTGCCACATTATTCAGAATTGATATTGATTGCTTGTTTGTGGCATGTCTGCTTTATTTTTACTTAGTATTTTTGTTTCTTGGTAACTTGGTAACTACACTGAAACTATGAACAGCTGAAACCAATATTTACAATTGTGTTTTTCTGCCTCTAACATGGGTTATATTGGCAGAAAGATGGTTCAGCTGTCAGAACTTGCCCTACAGCGTTGGATGGCTTTCTCTTTGGGTTTCCTATATTGTGTTTCTACTGCTGCTCTGCTTGATCGGAGGCTTTAAATTATTTGTTTGTATTGTAGGTTTTATTTACATTAACCCTGTTGCGACCCTTTTATGCATGAGTATCCCCCATTGTTTTTCCTTGTGTTGTGCATGACTTTTTGTATTCCTTGTATAGGTGTAGACGAGCTGAGCAAATTAATTGAGTCTATCATCTATCATCCAGGAAAATCTGAAAGACTTAAAGAACTGCAAAATTGTTGATATATGCAGCTACAGCTACAGCTACTGTATAGTACTTAATCTAGCTGCTGTAGCAAACAGTGACTCAGTCTGTTACATAAGTTCAAGTTTAATATTCTTTGTGTTTTTTTAGCACTTACATATAGAAGTTAAATATGCATGTATTAGGTATGTCTTATAGCACCTTTTGGTAACAAAATTCTGGAAAGGTAACAATACTTGATTTTTTTTTCAGTACAGAAGGCAGCATTAGGGCTGCGTACAGTTGTCAAAAAACTGATCCTTGGATACTAATTGATGCTAAATATTACTATTGGATCAAATACTCATTTGCAATATTAACAGTGCCATCTTCACAGAGCCCCTCATAACGCTAGCAGCTAAACACCTGAATAGAACAAGCTTGGCGAAGCTTAAAGGCTGACATTTCAGTCTTTATCAAGAATTTTGAGACAATGTTGAAGTATTTGAGTTATTTTGAATGCTTACCTGTCTGACACACATATTGCAGTTAGCCGATGGAAATATTACCCACATTATCCTCCTGTTTGCTGTTATTGTTGAGGTAGCAGCTAGCGGCTATGGCTAATAATAACATGACAACATTAATCTTGGAGCTCGGCAGTAAATGTTATCAGTTCTACTGGTCTGTAATATTAATATTCACATAACGGGATAATGTAGTTATTTGCGTATAGAAAGTGATATATTACCCTTAAAGTCCTGATTTACTAATAATGCAGACTGAAGGTGAGAGCAGTCTACCAGCATCTAGACAGAAACAGTGTAAAGTTCCTTGATAACCTCATTTAATTAGCAATGAAATATAGTGCCAAGAACCACAGGAAATATGCATTCTTTAAAATATGCCTGTTAATTTTATCTTTTTTTTTTCCTCCATTGTGAAAAATGGTTTGGAGTAGCAAGTATTTTTCTGGGGATCGGTACCGAGTTTGAAATTCTAATATCATGACAACCCTAGTGTGCACACTGTACTGCATGAAAGGCATTGATTGTAATGAATTAATTATTTATCCCTTGGCTGTCACAGGGTGACAGGCGGCGTGCACTCCTGACAGGTCTCTGTGTTTGCTAACACAAAGAGACAGACAACTATTAACACTCACATTTACACCTGTGGCCAATTTAGAATCACTAATTAACTAACAAGCATGCCTTTGGACTGTAGGAGAAAACCCGAGTAATCATAAAGAATATGTAAACTCTTTCTAAATAATTGTGATAGTAATGTCTTCCAAAAGTCTTCAAACTCTTGAAGTCTTCAAACCTTCAGCATTTGAAGGTCTTTGTGCTTTCGATTGGAAGGTGAAATGTCTGAGTCCTTTGTTCGCTTCTCTCTCACACTCTGGATGTGATTACGGTCTGATTTGTAAAAGCAGCTGCTGATTTCATAATCAGTGTCTGGGACTGACTTCAGCACACATTCAAGTCAAGGAATGGTCAAAAGGTGCAGTTTAGTGGCACAGTCTTTCTTCAATTGTCTGTGGTATTTAAAGTAAAAGCGGTGAGCTTTACAAACTCACACCAAAACACTAAAGAACTAAAATATTGACGTTAAGGCCCAAGGCATTATAAATGCTGAATTAGTGCTACGATATATATTGAGTACTCCACTATCTGCCTCACTCTGAATGGTTTTAAGCTGAAAGCTTAACTCGGTGGTTCAGACTGTCAAAGTCCTAACAGCTGAGCACACATCTGTCCTGGCTTACATATACAAATACAGCTACTGGTAAAAACACTGCCTTTTTGAGCTGATGGCTAGCGTGTTCTTTTTTTTTTTCTTTGAAGCTTAATTGGGGTTTAACTGAATCCTAATTTACTGATAATGCATGATATATATGAATGGTGTGGCCATAGCGTGCTTTCAGTGAAATCTGTCTTCCTGAATGACTCATTCATTACTGGAACTGAATGAACTCTTTGTAATTCAAAGAAGGTCTCCTCTCACACTGAGCAAGGGCAGTTTCACCGTCTTGCTTATATATATTGGGTCCTCTGCCTGAGAGCTTGAGGGACCTTGGATGAGCTCAGAGGTTGTTCCTGGGATCTGCTGGAGCCACTCGCCTAGCTTGGAGGTCACTTTACTGAGTGCTCCGAATACCACTAGGACTACTGTTCTTCCTGATGTTGCTGTCATTCATTATCGCTACATCTATCACTACGGCCGTCTTCCTCTGCTTGTCTACTACTATCTCCGGTTGGTTAGCCATCACCAGTTTGTCCGTCTGTATCTGGAAGTCTCACAGGATCCTGTAAACTATGCTGGCCACTTGGTTATGGCGTTCCATGCATGCCCTGCCTGCTAGCATCTTGCACCATGCTGTTATGTGCTGGATTGTCTCAGGGGCATCTTTACACAGCCTGCACCTGGGGTCTTGCCTGGTGTGATAGACCCCAGGACCACCGTGCAAGGGCCTGTCCTTCCATGACGGTTCCTCCTCTCGCTCCTCGTCTTTCTTGGGTTTCTGCTGCGTTAGGTATTCACTAAACACATGGTCAGTTGTCCCTATCTTCCTGATGTACTCGTGGATGTTCATTGTCTAATCCTGGACTGTGGTACTGACACTCACTAGACCTCGGCTTCCTTCCTTCCGCTTAGCATACAGTCTCAGGGTGCTGGATTTGGTTGAAACCTTCATGCATTGTAAGGAGTTTCCTCTTCTTGATGTCAGTGGCTTCTGTCTTCTTCTTTGGCAAGCGTATTATCCCAGCAGGATACCTGACCACCGGCAGGGTGAAGGTGTTGATAGCCTGGATGTTGTTCTTGCCATTCAGCTGACTCCTCTTCATTTAGTGTTGCGCTAAATCCTTTTGTTCAGTATACACAGCAGTATTTGAGCATATAATCAACCATGTGTTCCATGTTCAGATTCAAGAGGATGCTGATGGTGTGTTCCATGCATATGTAGTATTTCTATTCTGTTTTTATTTTGACATATGTCTGATAGCATAATTCTGACAGAAGTTACTTTGTTCTCTGTCTGCTTAGCGTTGCTGACCCGGCATTAATGTCAGTGCCTCCATTCTACAAACGCTCACCAAAAAAAACAAATAAATATAAAACAATGATGGATGTTAGATGATTCAGTTGTTGATTTATTCAACTAAATTCTAACTATTTTGAGTCTCCCTAATGGGTTGTTTATTGTTGTGCACTGTTGAAATGGGGATGCAGTTGAAAAGAAAGTAAATCAGTCATTAGCAGTGGCCAGGCCTTTCTCCATGCTCCATTTCACATTCTTTTAGCAGAGTGCCAAGGCCAGGAAACGATCTGGCAAATGGCATTTTTCTCAGGAAGGAAAAAGTGTTAAATAAATGATCACTGTTTTATTTCTTAATCAATCACGGTAATCCAGTGCTGAAAGGCATCAACCTATATGTACTTTATTGTGCAACTGTTACATAGGCACAGTATACTGAAAGAATGGAGGGATTTATAGAGATTTAGCTGAACACACTGTCAATGTGAATGCATGAAAAGAGTCGATCTGAGCATCCCTCAGCTTCTGAATGGCAGCCGGCATCACTATTCCCACATGAAAGTTTCTTTCTGCCAGAATAATCAGTCATATAGAAATCACTCCGCCCAGTGCAATTGTAGACACAACTGCCAATTATGACCGATGGTAGCAGAGCCAAATTGGGTAAATCCATGAGTCATGCCATAAAATGGATCGAGCTACAGCCCTAATGAAATTCTGGCATGTAATGCAGATCTGTTCTCTACAGTTTTTCTCTTTAATAGCCTGTGCAGATCAGCAGGCAAAAAAGAACAAGTGTTAAGACCAGTTAATCTCACTGGCATGCTAATTCGGAAAACTGGGCATGCTGAGCTAATGTTTTAGAAGCAGTAACAACCAAAGGGCTTGAGTGCTTTTGGGGTTTCTAAACTCTATTTTAGATTATGCTGACAGAAATCTGGGGAAAAGAATCTCAGCAGTGTCTTGACTCAGTTTCTTTTTTTAAACAGAACAGAAAGCGCTATAGTTTAGCCACTTAAGAGCGTGTGATTCTCTCTATACGTGTGTTTAAAGGGAGACATTATGTATCCATGTCTGTAGTCTGCAGGGTGATATCTTGAGTTAATTTGAGTTCACTTAATGCATTTTTTCACACAGATGGTCACACATGTTATTAACTCAAAGGATCTGAGAGATAAAAAGTAAAATCCACTGATAAATTCATCTCTATTTTGTACATGGGGTGAAACCACACAAGTGCAGAAGATTTTCTGTCTTAGTCGGTCTGTTTTCACGTACAGAAAGCACTCCTCAGTTTAAATTAAACTAAAGACTGAGATGGAAAACCTTTAGCCAGTCCAGCACCTCACCAGGCCTATTTTAAATATTCATATAATACTTATTATTAACAAAGAATTTACAATAATGGGATGGTATGAGCTGGTTGTCTCAGGACTACCCTCTATGGCTATGT